CACCCTGCAACTAAAAAGTGAAAGTCTTCTATATTTTGAGACATGTTAAGTTCTAATTTTGGTAAACGAAAAACAAAAGACGAAGATACATTAAGCTGTTCAGATACAGACAGTTCACACAGCAAATAAAAAAACCAAGGAAGAAATGCCTTTTTTCATTAACCTATAGAACAAATGCTACAGGTTTTATACCTGCAGACTTTCTCTCACAAGCATTCATACTTAAGAATCATAGCAACCTCTCTGCATATAATGGAAATAATAATATAAAATCTTTAAGTTCTTAAACACTGAAAACAATACTTGAATAATACAGGAAGATAATTTCCTTAACTAACCTTTGAAATGGAAAAGAAAATTTATCTTTAGGACCCACATTCATGTAATGGTTGCTCAGTAATATTTTTAACATTATTGTGTAGTACTAATACTAACATACTAATAGTATTAGTGCCATTTAATGAACTTTATACTAATGATCAAAATTGATTTTAGAATTTAAACACCTGCTTCAATTTTAAAATATTCCAAAGATAATTCAAATTGAATACCTCTGACAAAGTATGAAAAAGTTAGCATCAAACTTATACACAATGAGTGAAGTATTAAGTGAAGCATGAGAAGCCAATGGGAAATCCACAGTAGAAATTCAATTTTAGTGAATCCAGCACTTAGCAAAGAAATACTAGTACCATTCTGGAGTCAGAAATAATAATCTTTAATTAACCTGTATCTTTCTGGTATACTATTCATTTGTAATATAATGGGGGAAATATTCTCAATTAAACCCATGCAGTAATAATTTCACTCCCCTAAAATATACAAATTTATTGAAGTAATATGTCAGTTTCAAAAAAAAAGGTCATGCAAATCCTCCAAAATTACTATGCTCTGAGTATATTTTGGTTATGCTTAGCATATTTAAAACAGGTGTAGATTAATCCCATAGTCTAATTTTTATATATAGAGCATAAAAATCAGTCCTAATAATTGATTTGAAAGTGTGATTCTTACACTCTGCGTGGGTCCTCTCTTCCTAGGCAATCTCTGCCTTACATCGTACTGGGTAAGTCCTAGGTAAGCAAATTATTCCTAAAGCTACACAGGATATTTTCTAGAACAAGAGAGAGTATAAAGAAAAATAATATATAAAATTAATTGTTCTGACACAAATATTTTTGTGTTCTAGCATCAAAATACAAAAGTGAGAAAATATACACTGAGGTGGTTTTGCAATTTCAATGCACCTGCAGTTCCCCATAGTCTGCCCACCCCCCAACTCAAGCACGCTACTGGGTACTGTCTTAATCTGCATTAACTTCTTCATATACAGAGTAACATGATTTAAATTGTCTAAATCTACCTTTCTTTCCTTTACAGGGAAGGGAAACTGCAATGCTTTTGTTGCATGTCTGATGCTATTAGAATATGGAATGTTCTCCTCACTCTTCTACTAATGTTTTAACAATATCTACTCAAAGCACTTTTATCCAGCTGTGTCTCTCCTTTCCTAGCAAAGTTGCAACTATCCTTGATAGATGCTTTATCTCATTTGCCTCATCTGTTGTTTTTATTAACATCTAACTTAATATCCTCTATTCTGAGCTATTTGCAAATCAGCCTGTGGATGCGTGCAGGCAGCCTAAACCCTCAGGCCTGCACCTCCCGATGGTAAGCCGACCAGGTCCTCTGGGGACCGAAGAGCCAGAAGGAGTATTGGACGTGGTGACCTGTCTGCATGAGAGGTGGAAAAAACAAACAAAAGCAAAAATAGGAGATCTGTAGTCATGATGATCTAAACATTTAATGACCAGAAAAGAAGGAAATACAAGCTTTCATTTTAAAATGATATTCAAACCCATGACTCAGAAGGTCCTATTGAGTTGGAATTGATCTGCAAATCATCTGAAGGATAATAATTCATCCTGTGGCTCCAGGGGTTAGGAAGTTGCTGCAGATACCTGCTATCAAAAATCCAGTTTGATTTCTAAAATCTGTAAGAATAAACCAAGTTTCTTGATCTTGATGTGCTAGGCAGGGAGTTTGTCCTGAGTGCTAGACTGCTTAATTGCTTGCTTGAGGGAGGGAAAATCCTGGGGGAAAGGTATATATGAGCAATATATACTCTGCAAAGCCAGTACCTTCTCCCAGCTGGAGCAGGGCCAGCAAGGCAGGAGAGTCTGCTCTCCCTTCCAGTGGAAGGAACTGTGGATATTTGATCCTAGAGGTGAATGAAAAAACCTAAAGATCATATTTCGTGGGAATATTTCAGTGTTCTGAATGGAAAATGTAACTGCAAACTGGTTATTTGCTTCTCCAACCCAAAGCGTTTTAGGAACACGGCTCAGAGATGGAGGGAAAAGGGACAAAAAGTAATTATTTTAATATAAATTGGAGAAGAAGCAAACATGAACATGTACATTATCAAGTGGGACAGTTCACACCTGCTGAGTAGATGTAAGACTATATTTACATCAAGAAATGAATTAACTACCCCTTTCTAATTATGAATGACTGCAAAGCAATAAACTTGATTTTCTTTTCCTTGTACAAGAAATAAGCATTTGAGTGTTTTTACCTCAATAATAATTGAATTCATTACAAATATGTTTATCCCTTTTTATTTATAGATACAGGTTTAATTTAGATTTTTCTGACTTTCATGGTATGCCTATAAGAAAGTATGCCTTTTTCCTTTCCTTTTGAATACTTAGTCTCTCTATTTCAAATAAAAAACAAACATCCCATCTGTACATGTTTAGTACCAATTTTTTTTTACAATTATCAGAACAACAGTTTTTAAATTTACTATCTTGACAGTAACTATGAGTTCTTAACAAATGATTTATGAGAAACTGCAACCAAAAACACAGGGTTACTTTGATACTACTATTTACAAAGTATGCTGAACAAGTCATTAACATATATTGTTCTTCAACATATGGAGCCTTAAAAAATCACTTAGAGTACACATCAAATTCAGAGCTAGATAACAAATGATTTAAAATCCTGACAAATTTGAAAGTAAGTCTAGTATCTACAAAATCTACAGATTCTTACTTTAAAGTATATGCCTGAACCTTTTAAAAGTATATACCTGTACAATTGATTTCCAATAAATAACTTTGAATAACAAACTAGAAGTGTCTCCCTTGATTTTTCACCAGAATATATACAAAAGGAAACCCTATTTCTTATTTGGAAATGAAGCCGAACAATTTTGCACAGTATCAACTATCATAAGTATGCCACGCAGAAGAGGGAACATGCAACTGAAGGAAAAAGTTTTATTAAACAGGTCAAGACAGATGTCAGTGCCTTGTGTTTTATTTATACACGAAAAGGTCATCTTCTTTAACAGGTATTTATTTAATTCCCTGCATCACAATTATTTTAGCTCTAGTTGATATACTTGTTCATCAGCAAATACTTACACCAAAGCAAGGAATGAGAGTAGATAAAATCAGTTTGCATATTTTCTCTGACAAATGTACACTCAGAGACTTTGCTCTATACAGTCCGGTAGAAAAAAAAGAAAAAACCAACTTGAAAGTTTCTAGAAAAAAATTTTTTTGTGTTGAAGCAAACATCTACTTCTTTTAAAACACTGTGAGCCTTTGGGAACATGGTATTATACATCTGACATTTTCCATCTAAAAATACATTATGAAGCATGCTGGTATTAATAAACCATGTGCTTTCAGAACCCTGAAGTGTTTTGCTATAATTTTGTGAAAAACAGAGCAAGATGGTATATTTTTCGCCATGCTATTAACATACAGCAAACGCATTTTATGTCATCACCTTGCCAGCTTGTCTTGATTGGAAAGTGTAAAAAGGGGAAAAAAAACTTTTAAGAGTTCATAAATATTTGTAACCATCTTCTGATTTATAAGTTACCAATTCTTAAGTGAGCATACATAACTTAGACAAAATTTAGTCTGAGATGCATTACAAAAAAAAAAACCAAACCATCTACATTCCCTTTTTCCTCACCCCACCCCCATCCTAGAAAAATCACCCCCTCTGCAGCAGGGTGCTATCATTCTTTTCCCAGCCTCAGTTATTGGAAGGCAAATGAAAATACAATGATCCTTTCCTTTTCTCACTGAGCTTCCAACGCAAATATTTCAACGCGAACACAAACTACCGTTTTCACAGAAAGCACCAAACACAGACAGTAGGACTCACTGACCCATTTGGAAGACAAAGACGACAGAACAGGAGCGCTCTCAAAATCAGCTTGTGAGGCCTCTCAGAGATATTCTTCTGGCATTTCATCGCAGCAGCCCCAGACCAGTTCACCTCCCTGGATACAGGGCGGAGGAACTAAATAGAGCTGTTTATTAAAGCTGTTGTGCTGGATTGCATTAGGACCGGCAAGCAGACCACCTGGACCTCTCAGATTGTGGCAGTGTTTAATTTGCAGCCTGCCCCTCTGCAGCCGCCAAGACAGCACACTTCTACTACATTTACCAAGCTCAATCGCACATTATCGGGGTTAGGAGTCAAGGCACTTGTATTTATGTATTTATATTTTCCATATGGAGAGAGAGAGGGAGAAATAAGAATATAGACCAAATAAAAATACTGACTAGCACTAGGAAAATTTTAACTACTGCCTAGCAAGCGTAATACTTTCTTCTCTTTTCACACTTGTATTTCTTTCAGAGATCACAATCTAAACAGAAAAAATAAATTCTGAAAATGGGTTTTTCTTAAGCATTCAGACCAAATCATAAATTAGATACGTTCTTTGGGTTTGTTGCTGTTGTTGTCGTTATTTTAGTTTTTGTTTAAGAGCAGTGCATGGAAGTTTTCAGCTGAGGTTTCCTGGCTAGATTTAATGGGTGCCTTTTGCCTTTCGCACTTTCAGCACTACACTGGCAGGTAGCTGAAGATACACATAGAAAGATGGAGCAGTAAATATGAATTATGTGAATCATATGGTGAGACCCTTGTGGAAAAAAAGGGGAGCTGAGAAATGGCTGACTCCATACCTGACCAATTACAGCTTGCATGGTCCCCGTGTCCCGCTGCGCTGGGAGATCGCAATCCATCATATATTGTCTTTGAAAAGGAGAATGGGGGTTTCTGGCAAGCATCTGTCAATCAACTCCTGCACTCACAACCATCACCAAAAGCAAGGGGAAAAAAAGTCAAGCTGCTCTACCAAACAGGATGAAACCGTCATGTGACCTCCGGCAGACACGCACACACACATTCACTACCTCCACAGAGCGTAAGAATTTTCTGTAGATATGAAACGACATTGACAAATACCCAATACCAAGTAAATAAAGTGAGACAAACAGCTTTTCACCTGAGACAAAATGTGGGCTGTAATCTTCGGGTAAAGGTTTAACAAACCTAGGAAGATTTCTTTTTAATGTTCTTAAAATCTATGTTTAAAACAAAAAAACAAAATATTAACTATTTCATGTGAGTCATAGTGAAAGCATTGATTATCATCCTAGAAATTTTTTAAAATCTAATTCATTATTCTACTTTTCTGAAGCTCTCCCTAACGACTTTTTTTCCAATTCTCTAAATGACCTTTTGACAATGTGCAGTAATCTCTGCAATTTTATATGAAGTCACCTTTATAGAAAAACTTAAAATGTTAACTGTCTCATAACAGAGATACCTTGGTATTTGTTGATGGAAAACGGATATATACAATCATTTGTGTAAACTGCGATGACCATTCAAATATAAAATATTCAAAGTATGTAAACAGTAGTCAGTAAACTTTCCAGCTTCTGAAAGGTTAGGAAATGATTTACTTGAAGCTCATCTAAAGCGATGGAAAGTACTGACAAGTATTTTAACTTTTTCATTGAATTTAACTGTTTTATCCTACACAGACTAGGAAAGATTGTTTATATATCATCTCAGAAATGAACACAACCTTTTTAACCCTTTCAAGATTAGGATCAGAGCCTGACTTTGAAGATAGTCCGACATATATTGCAAAGTTGCCCTCCGAAAATCTAACATCATAAATAATATCCATTAACTTGGTAGCATTAGCCTGCATCTGCCCACTTTTAAAAGTGAAGGTCATTAGTGTATTCTCCCTAAAGGGTCAAAAAAATTAACTAGCAAATTTTGTATTATTAAAGCAGGAATTTTTCCCCCAACGATCCAAACAGATATTGAACTTGAGAAATGGGGAAGTTAAGGGGAATAGTTAATACAAAACATATGCTATTGTGTAAATTACAGTATTGTGTACTATATCTCGAAAAATAATTAAAAGGAAGTTCAGTAAGAAAATAAAAACATTTTTTCAATGTTTTGAAAGAAAGCTTTAAGCAGAAAAGAACGTATTGAAGTTCTGCAGGCTTTTCATTAAGAGTTGCCTGAGAATACACATGCACGCGCGCGCACACATACACACACACACACACACACACACACACACACACACACACAAACTCCTGGTGAAAGAAACCGTGCATCAACTCTAGGACTGGAAACCTCTCTCGGTCTGCGTCCCTGCAGTCTCCAGCCCGGGAATTCCTGCAGCCGCCCCAGGTCCGGACCACGCCGGGGACTCAGGGACCCGGGCCACCGTGGGGACCCACAGGCTTGCGAAGGGCAGACGCGCGCCGGGGCTGGGTGTCGACTCCCTGGGATCCTGCTCTGCAAACCAGGGCGTCCCGCGGTCCGGCCGCATCAGGGACAGTCGCGGAGGAGGGGCGGCCTGGGCCAGCTGAGCAGCTCCCTGGCGTCTGGGATTCTTGCTGGACTCAGGGCCTGGAGCGCCAGGCGCAGACACCTGCTCCTCTTGGGAGCGCACCCGTTGGGCGGTAGTGTGGACTGGGAGGAGGGGGGCTGCTGCAGCTTTGGTGCAGGCTGTAGTCCCACTGTCTGACACCTCAATTCCCAAAGCTCTGAGCTTCCTGTGTGTCTCCTGCGTGTCTCCCCATGGGGTGGGGGTTGGGAAGTAGGGGAGTTTGGAGGAGGCATTCGCAGGGGCACAAGGCTGGCTGCGTATCTGCTTGGGTCTGTGATTATCTGGCCTGTGTTAACTCTGATCATTACTAATCAACACCTGTGGGGCCTGAGCCGGTATCGCGAAAGCCTTCTTACTACTCCAGTCCATTAAATCCTCAACCACACTGGGAGGCAGGGGCGATTATTCCCATTTTACAGAAAAGGCTCGAAAAGAAAAGAAAAACTGCTCAAGACGAATGGAAGCACAATGTAAGCCTTTTTTGAATTTCAAAATGGGACTTTTTGTGTGAAATCAGAGTCAGGTAACTTTCTTTCTTTCTTTCTTTCTTTTTTTTTTTTTTTTGTCTTTTTGAGACAGGGTCTCACTATGCAGGTCAGGCTGGCCTTGAGCTCACTTTGTAGCCCAGGCTGGTCTCAGACTTGCAAAGATCCTCCTGCCTCAGCCTCCTGAGTGCTGGGATTACAGGCGTGCACCACCATGCACGGCCAGGTAACTTTCAAACTAATGACCACCATATATGAAGCCTTCATTCATTCCACAGGTATTTATGAGGTCTGTACTGGGTGCCAAGTTCTGTATTAAGTGCTAGCAATACAGTAAAACCATGCAGATTGCTTTGAGAAGCAGAATAAAAATAGACTAAGCACGCTACCCTGTGTCTGTGGGGATTGGTTTGATTTGATTCCAGCTGATGGAAGATTCTTGCTCTTTTTCAGGCATCCTAATGTGCAGGCATCTCCTCCATCCATTACCTAGAACTCAGCGTAGTCTTGGGGAAGTCGCAAGCTGAGTCTTGAGCTTCTTGTCTTAGGCCAGCAAGAACAATTCATAAGGCTTTGGGGAGCTGAGGTGACTCATGAAAGCTTCTTGAGTTATCCTCTGTAGCTACCCAGTGACTGTGAGACTTCTTTCTCTTCTGGAGGACTGGCAAATTGGGCTGGGGAAAGGAGGATACCTCCACGTAGGTGGTGCAAGGATTTGGGCTGTGATTTAAGCAAAACGCAGCTTCTGTTTGGAACAGGGGACAGTGTGAGGCACAAGCAGAGCCATCCTGCTCCTCAATCCCTGTGGGTAGTGGACACTTATCTGAGTAACGGGCAGCAGATGGAGAGAAGAGAGGAGGGTCAACTAACATCTGTTCTCACTGTTACTATAGAGTTTAGAAAATGAAGCTCCTTAAGTGTAAAATTCGCATGACCATCCAGCTTTACCTGTTCCCCATCAAATCTCCATAAAATTGTGCATTCTAGGGCCTCTAAGACTCCCTCCTCCATCTCCCTCATGGAACTGCTACACTCACCCATTCCTAACACAGGCCATGCTATATACAAAGGAGCAAAAGTGACAGTGGGTCACTCTGAATCACCATTATGACTCCAGCCTGGCTTCTCAGGATCAGGATGAACTTGATTTCTTAACATTAAACCACAAAGGACAGGAGAGATAAAAGCAGTACTAGGAACCAAGAATGTGAAAGTTTGGGTCACCTCTGCCTTTGTATCGAGTGTGTATTTTGCAGTGTTTAAGGGTGAGAAGAGATAACATAGCTAGATGCTTCTTCCATGAAACAGAAAAAAAAAAAAAAAGTGAATGGATGTTTCAACAAAAGTCACTAAGAAGGCTCTGCCCCTACTAGACAATTTCCCATAAAAGCTATCAACATGGGTAGGTTTGCTTGAATCCTATGGGACCTTTTTTTTCTCTCTGTTGAGACCTGTTCTTTCTCTCTATTGGAGTCTGTTCCTTTCTTTGTTTGCAGTATTAGTATATTTGTTCGTTTGTCTGCTATATTTTACCTGGTCTCTAATAAATCAATCTTACTTTTTCTCAACTAATTTCTAGTTTTTGGTTTGTTTGTTTGTTTGTTTGTTCCAGATCTCTGCTGGACCTCTGCCTTCTCCTTCGTGAAACATCATGCAGCATTCACTTCATGATGTGACTCACCCTTCTGTTGTCTGGCATCACAAAGGTTTAGAGGCTCCTGTGACTCTCAGGTCCCAGGTGGACAAGCCTCAACAGAAGTAGATGTACAAGTTCAAGGCTCTGCACTTTCTTTTCCAAAGTTTTTAGTTTGCTCCTTTCCTTCCTTTCTCAAGGTCACTTTTTCCTAGACTTTGAAGCTGCATCCTCAGCCTCTGGAGTGATTCATTGCTTTCTCTATTTCTACTTCCCTACACACACACACACACACACACACACACACACACACACACACACAGAGGCACACACTACATTTCTGTCCAGACTTTCAAGTTTTGTACAGCATTTCTCTAGAATGGTCTTTTCAACCACTATCAGTTTCCTTAAGCACCATTAGATGGCTTTGACTTCCACAGGACATTGACCAGTATAAATCATCTCTACTCTGGGATCTTTTGTTGTTGTTATTTTCATATTTCTATAGAGCTGAGGACAGGAAAAATACCAAAAGCAGAATGATTATTTTTAAAAGTAGAAGAGGAGAGGAGAGAAATACCAAGTATGTCAACATCCAGGGACTGCAGAATTGAGAGGGGCTTGATGATACTCAGCTCGGGCATCTATGATTTACAGTTTTCCACAACATAATTTGGGAGCACTGTTTTTTCCCCTGAGAAATGGTGACAAGATATTGCCTTTAAAATGAACAGCTGAGAGGTTCAAGAGTCTGTTGACTCTGGGCAAAGAAGACCTGTGAATATACTAATGCTTTATTTGACCTTCCACTTTATTATCTTTCCTATCAGGTGACCGTATCTAGGACAAAACCAGAACATCCCAGTGCAGGAACTGATTGTTTCTTAATTTCCAATTGTCTCTTGCGTAGAATGCTTTGGTTACAATTATGCATTTTGTTCTTCTAGAATCTATTTCTGCTGCCTGGATATTCTCAGGAAAAGTCACTGAAATAAATGCTCCTGGGCTTTGCTATATATTTTTTGGTAATTTTGGTGTCTAGGGCTAAATGTTAACATGTGACTTTTCATGAAAATCTCCAGGTAGACAGATACAGTCTGTTTCCTCACAGCCAGGGGACATGGGAGGGCATTTTCTTCTTTACTTCATGGCTATAGCTCCACATGGCTGAAAAAGCTAAGTATCACCATCCTTTTATTTCTGATATCAGTAGGCTCACAGCACTTAGCCCTAGTTCCACTGCTTGGAAGACAAATGTTTTTAAAAGTATGTCTGAACAAAATCAGATTCATTAAGAGAAAGCAACAGCTCTCTCATTTTATTTTGGAAAAGTCATTGCTATTCCAGCTTTCTCAGTAATCGTCGTTATCACGTCACCATCATCATTATCAGTAACAATAATACCAGAAAACAAAAGAATGGTTCTTAACACAAAGAATTCCTGAGGTCTTTGGAGGGGATACGTCGGGGTAAAACTTCTTCAAAATAACACTAAAATAAGATTTCCCTTTTTCACTCTTACTTTCTGAAAAGTGTGCCTGCAGTAGAGTTTTCCTGAGGCTGCATGATGTGATTTCCTAGGAGAGTGAATCCATGTACACCAGAAATCAAAGCCTGAGTGGAATTTGCACAAAAAATGTACAAGGTGTGATTAAAATATACTGTGAGTGCATGCATTTTAAAAATGTATTACTGTAAAAGACATATTGCCATTAAGTACCCTCAAAATACTCCCTCTCAATTCAAACACAATCTCATCATTTTTGCTACTTCCTGAAACGGTTTTGGGAGTGAATGCTCGTGCTAAGTGCCATTTGATGGAAAGGCAGGCTCACGAGAGTGTGTCCTCATCTACCTCATTCACTGGATCTTGCACCATGTGACTTCTGGCTCTTCCCCAAAGTCAGAATGACCATGAAAGGGAAACATTTTTAATTGATTCAAGACATCAAAGCAACCACAACAGCACAACTGAAGACCCTCAGGAAAGAGGACTTCCAGAACTGCTTCAGAAAGTGACAGGAACAATGGGACAAGTGTATTTGAAGTAAGGTGGAGGATTTTGAAGGAGATTCATGGCCATGTGTCTTTTACTGTGATAAAGTATGTAAAATTTAACCATGTATCATATTTTTCACTCACACCTTGTACAATGATGCAACCCTTCTCACTAGTTATTTTCTTTGGGGAAAATAGAATTTGTCATAAAAGATTATTTATACAATTTAATTTTATTTAAACAAATTAGTAAATAAACTTTTTAATTTCTCAGTTTTAATTTCTAATATTATGACAAAAACAGAAGCAGGTGGGGTTAGTAACTAATTTTTTAATGATGTAAAGAGGTCCAAAAAATTCAGAAAATTGCATGCGTGATCAAGTGTTTACTGTTTGTCGTGCAATATTCTAAGCATTTCACTTTCATTAACACATTTAATTCTCGAGCTGCTTCTAGAATATTTTTATCTTCATTCTACAGATGCAAATGTACTGATAGAAGCATTGTATTGAATATTATAAATGCTCAGTTTCTTAAAGATGAATACATCTAAAGCAATGAGTTTACATATGTGCAGTTTGGGATATGTAATCCCTCCTGGATAAGAATGGTAAAAAAAAATTGTTAAAAATTTAAAGAGATTTTCACAGAATGCTCATCTGTGGTGGGCATCAAAACTATGTCCCAGTAATTCAAGTGTCCCTAGTGACAGT